GTTGCCATGAGAGAAGCTCATTCGTTTCTCGGACAACAAATTAAACAGGAAATTGTTGATAATCGGAGAAAGCCCACTCGCATGGAGTTTTTCCGAAAGGATGTCGATGCAAATAGAATCAAACGCCCCTTTAATGTCCAAGAAAACTGAACCCATCTGCTGTTTTTCAGCATAGGCTAATTGGATTTCAGTTGAAAGCAGCGCAAGGCAGTCGTTCGTCCCTTTGCCCCTACGGAATCCAAATTGCGTATCTGAGAGTAAGCCATTCGCCTCGACCCACTTGTCCAGACGAAGAAGAATCATTTTTTCTAACAGCTTCCGAATACACGACAGCATCGCGATGGGACGGTACGAATTATGATCCGACGCGGGTTTACCGGGTTTCTGGATGGCGATAACTCTCACTTGTCTCCAATCATCCGGAACAACGTTGAGCTCAAGGAATCGATTGAACAAGTTCAACAATCGCCTCTTTGTGACTTCTGGGAGGTTCTTGAGCAGGTTGAACTTGATTCGATCAATTCCCGGAGCTGAGTTATTGCATGAAAGAAGAGCAATTGAGAATTCTACCATCGAAAACGGGGAGTCCATGTCATCGTTTTCCAGCGGCGGATCGCGAGTGTTGCATCGGACCGGAACCGAATCGGGACAAACCTTACGCGTGAAGTCGAAAATCCACTTGTTAGAGTGCTCCTTGCCCTCGTTGACCGACGATGCCGCGTTACGCATTCTCCTGCCGACATTCCAGAGCGTTTGCATGGAAGTCTCTCGCGATAGCCCTTCGACGAACCGACGCCAGTAACCGCGTTTTTTGGCCCTGACCAAGCTCTTAAACTTTTCCTCTAGCTCCGTATACCGCTCAAAGTATTCGCGGGAACCGTATTTACGAAACTGTTTAAACGCGGTAGACTTCTCTTTATTCACGTCGGTGCATTCCTGGTCCCACCACACAGTGGGAGGACGTTTGCGAATGGTAGTGCCAGGAACAGGCTTCGTTTGTGCTTGAAGCGCGCAATCCACTATGAGCCGCGATAGGAAGGAGTACTCATCCAACGGAGAGAGAACGTCGACCGATTCTGAACCGTCACGGACCGCGTTCGCGTATTCTTCCCAATTGATGTTTCTCGTGAGATCGTACGCGATGTTGATTGGACACTGTGAAGATGAACCGTTGGAAATCGAAATTTTGATGGGCAAATGATCACTACCATAGGGGTCTTGGATTACCTCCCACATGCAATCCAATGATAGTGAGTTCGAACAGAGTGACAAGTCTAGTCTGCTCTCTCTTGCTGGAGGTTTGGCTATTCGAGTTACTTCACCGGTGTTTAGAATGGTCATATTGAAATCGTCGCATAGGTCATAGATGATGGTTGAGCGGTTGTCATCGTGCAGCTCTCCCCAGCCTGTACCGTGGGAATTAAAATCCCCTAAGATCAACCGCGGCTCAGGTAGCACTGAGCAGATGTCAGATAGCGCTCGCCGAGAAACAGCCGTTCTCGGAGGGATGTATAACGAGGTAATACTGAAGGTTTTACCTCTAATATTCACCTGACATGCGACAATTTCAATACCTGACACTGGAGGAAGGTCGATTCTGTAGAATGAGTGTTGTTTGTTGACCCCTAGGAGCACCCCACCGTACGAATCTGCACGATCGAGACGGATAATGTTGTAGTCGTGAAGAGAAAGGTTAACATCTAGAGAGAGCCATGTTTCGCAGAGAGCAAACGCATCACAGTGTATGTTATGCAGTAAAAATTTGAATATGTCTAGTTTTGGTAAAATGCTTCTACAATTCCATTGAAGGAGAGATACCGTATCATTTTTTGGAAAATTATCCATCGAAGGATACGAATGAAGCAAGGAGGGGCCACTTGGAAGCAAATTGCTTCAGAAAAGGTTTCACGATTGGAAGCATCATGTTAATGATGCTCCGAAGAGGGTCAGTGATGTTGAACAGATCGAGAATGCTGTCCACAATTCCAGAAAGTGTGAACATGGCGTTCTGCTGTTCTGGTTGCAAAACTGGGACATCTGGGGTTTTAGATGTTCCCGGAAGCCCCGGAAATTCTTTGTCATAATCGACAGGCTTAAAACCCGGTGGATTGGGTTTCGGTTTATTTCCGTGACCTCTTGATTTATCCAAGTGGGCTTGGGAGTCAGTTTTTTTTAGTTTTCTGCGAGTCATTCTTGGATCGCTTCCTTGAAGGACCTTTGAAAACAAAAGGACTTCCGTCATTGCCCTCTGAGTCAGTGTCGTCCTCGTCAACTGGGAGAAGATTGAACGGATTATTGTTTTCTTTTTCCGGAGTGATTTTGGGAGGAGGATTGAAAGTCTTCAAGATCTCCGCAAAGGAACGCTGAGAGCGCGCCTTCAGAGACCGTTCAAGTTTTTTTCCTTGCTGTTTATACTTCGGGCAATCTGCGAGAGGATGCGGAGGTGCCAAACAATAAACACATTTAGGAGGAGCACCACAAGCACCCTCCGCATGCTTCTCGCCGCACTGATCGCATCGTGGCTTGTTGCCGCAGAAGGCGGCGGTGTGGCCTAATTGTTTGCACTTGGTGCAGTTCATCACCCTTGGTATAAACAACCGCACAGGAAGTCGAACCCTCCCAATTCGGACGTAATCTGGCAGAGTCGATCCGGAGAAAGTCACTCGAAACGAGTCAGTCAGCGAATAGATTTTTTTTGTCCCGTCGAGGGATGCTGACTGCATTTGGGTGCAGTCAAGAATCTTGACTTCTGGAAGAACGGGGTTCTTGAAGACACCAACCCCCCTCTTCAAGAAGTCATCGCAGGTCAAACTCGCTTCGGTGACCACTCCTTCGATTTCCACGTCACGACTGGGAATGTAAACGCGGTACTCTAACGTAAAAAGCTCGCAGGCAACAATCTCATTCGCCTGCTTGCGGTTACCAACAGTGACGCGCAGTTTGTCTGGCCTCACCTTCAAAATGTCGGTCACTGACGAGAAACGTTTGAATAAATCTTTTTCGATCTGGTTAACGTTAAGCGGTTTTTGTTTGGGTCGGAAAAAAACAACCCATGGGCCTGTCGAGGCGTCTGGGTATGACTTATGGCGGGGGGCAGTTTTTGTTTTCTTGGCGGGGTTAGGCGGAGTAGGGGGAGACGGTTTTGGCGGTGTGGGGGGAGAGGGATTAGGTGGGGTAGGGGGAAACGGGTTTGATGGTGCGGGGGGTGACGGTGCTGGTGGTGTTGGTGGCGATGGATTAGGCGGGGTAGGAGGAGATGGGGTAGGCGGTACGGGCTCCGGTGCTCGTTTTCGCCTGGGCCGCTTCGGGATGGTTCCAGTGTACTTCTTCACCGTGGCTGACGTTTCCACGTCGGACAGTTCGTCTTCAGTGGGAAGGGCAGGAAGGGTATTCCCCCCGCCATCACTATTACCATCCATTGCGGGGCAACTGCCACCGCAATAGATACAAAACAACTACACACAGGGAACACACAGGGACAAGAGAAAAAGAAGAAGAAGAAGAAAATATTTGCGTGGGATGGGAGAAAGGGGAAACTAAAACAAAGGGGCAATAAATAAAACTTATTCGCTACTTAACTACACCGGCACAAAGCGTGTGTGTGGAAACGCTGTTATCACGTGGTGCGTTGGTGTTGGTCCACGCTGCTATCCGGTGGTGATGGTTGGTGTTGGTGGGTCGGCAAGCTGGTGATACGACACGCTTCACTATCACTTGCACACCCTCGCGACGGCGTGAAAAAATCATGGACTTGACGACGCCGTTAACTCCGGTGATGGATTACCGGGATGAATTAAAGCTGGATGGTAACTCCAAGGGGCTCGGCCGATGGAATTCCACTTCCTCTGTTGGACACTGGTCACTTGGGGCACCCAATGGGGGGTGAAAAAAACCGCTCGGGCGGAAAAAAACACCGAAAAAAAAACTAGATGCCGCGCAACTGAAACCGGGACGTTGTTAACCGACTGAATGCTCAACTAGGAATGAGTAGTTGGTTGTATAGAAGCCATCAAATGAGTAACATCTTCTTCTTCGGGTTGGAAAAATTCTAGACTTCCCTGGACAAAAGAGTATGATTGTACTAATGCAAAAATGGTACCAAGCATCGAAAGCTCTCAACTAATAAGCTAATATGCGATAATCAATAAGCTTGAAATGCGAAGAAGATGAAGAATCAATCAAGCAGGCTTTTGATTTGGAAATATTTCCGATCTCCTGCCGAAATGCCGATTTAAGCGTCCCAATTCCAGGGTAACCAAAAAGCTTCTCGAATTTTAATTGTTACGTAACAAACATTGAAAGTTGAATTATATCATATAATCAACAGGCTTATTCAGTTTAACAAATTGTGAAATGTTGGATAGATACTCCCTTGAGTTTCGTACTTATTTAGCTAGTATCACCAAAAGCGCATATTGTCTTAATCTAAAAAGTTCCTGCAACCATGGTCGCATACAAAAAATAGACATGTTTGATTATTAGTACTCTGCGAAAAATGAACCAAGTTTGATTGCATTTTCAAACCACGCTATCATTGAACACTTTAGCCAGTGAATCATCTCACCGCAGCAATTCACCCACGTTAGACAACTCCAATATGCTTAGCGTGCATCGCACCTAACCGGCAAAAAGCGTCAGAGCTCCAAATCTCACCGTGTTTATCTCACCAAAGCACCGCATAGTAAAACTGATTGTTTACCGAGCACGAGATGAACTTCAGGTCGCTGCAGCCGACGACGGTGACGACGCGATGCACGCAAACCCAAGATAACGGATCGCTTTCAGTGTTGCACGTGGCGTGAGGTGGGTGGTGGGTGTGAAAATTCTTATGCAACCGATCGGGCCGCGTTGATCTCGACGTTCTCGACCAAGCCCGAACTCCGCTGGTTCTGAATGAATGAACCCCACTCTCTGCTAGTAGCCCGCAGTGCTACGGCAAGAGCTAGATATAAGACAACCGTCACCCATGGAACAATAGTTTAGTTCAACGCCAAGTCTACTGCTGCTATCTACAGAAGCTTCAAAGCGTTCCACGGAGAGTTCGGTGATTAAAAGTTCTTTGCGAAGTTTTTTCCTAACAAGTCAGCCGGTCGGTCGGTCAGTCAAGTGCAGCAAGTTAATTAATTCTACTCGACAATGAAAGTGCTGGTGAGTGAAATTCATCCCGTTTCTTTTTTGTGTGTGTCTCTGGAATGGAACGAATCGGAACGGAGCAGATTGCAGGACACCATGTTTCTCCCGGTTGGATCAGTGAAACATGGAAAAAGTGGTGCATTGCTGCAGTTGTTGGACTGAAGTTTGTCAATGCACAATCACCTTTTTTCCCGAGGGTGTATGTCGTCGAAGTAGGGGGGGGGGGGGACCTCTTATCTTTCGGAGCAACTTTTTCTGTTTTTCTCTGGCTGAAGACTGAGTCTCAGCGTACGTGGGGGAGTCAGTGCAAGAAGATGGGGGAAATTGATGCGATAGAGTGGTCGAAAATGTGAACCAAGTGAAGCTGAATGGATGGGATTCAAAGTTCATAATCAATGAGACAATATTAAAAATCAGTATGATTTTTTGTAGACGATAATCGAAATGATTAGTTTTTAGTTTCGTTTTGAAGACATTTGGAATTTGCAATTATTGGAATCCTTGTTTTCTGCATTCAATTGTCATAATTTTCATCGCGCGCGTTAAAACATGACCCTGGTCACCCAAACGCTCAGTGCTGGCAGACCACACAAAAAATCCTGCTCAATAGCGTAAGTGCTACTGGACTTAAGTTCTCAAGTGGGAGAAAACTTTTACGGAGCCGTGTTTTCTGGTCATAGTGCCTGACTGTTTCACCTTCTTCCATTCTGCATCTCGATTTTTTTTTGTGTTGTTGCTTTTCTCGCAACCCTCTCCCAGTCCCAAGCCACTATGCAGCGTGAAAAGTGTGAATTAGAGAAGAAAAAGTGAAAATTCCATCCCACTGCTTCTGGTGTTGCAGCACCAGGAGAGCTGCAGTGGGAATTCGCGGGAAACTGTTTTTACACCAACAGTCTTACCGTATTGTCACAAGCTTGTTGAATAATAACCGAGCACTTGGCAGAAGAAAGGAGTGAAAAAAAGGGATCCCTCCTGCGCTATTTTTCTTTTTCTTGTGCACTCCCGAGAAGGTGGCTTCCGTGAGTTAAATTTCAAGTAAAATTAGTTTTGCAAGTCAATAACGAGCTGTGAAAAAGTTAGCCCCTAACTGCAGAGCACTGCAGACGCTGACGACGGTCGACACTGATGCAGATGATGATTTGTTGCGCGGGTGGTTACATTTCAGCACACTCCTGGAATGGTAAAATTGAGGATGCTTTCCGAGAATGCAAATCGTGCAGAAACCCATCGACTGTGCGTTCGTGAGCTTTTCGAGCTGCGGAAAAAGTTTCAACCAGTTGACGTTCGTCGTCATCGCTGTCGGTTGGAAAGTCTGAGTGACACTTTTCCAGGACTTTGGGGTGTGAAGCCTGTCACTTTTCTTGGGTGGTGTTTATTTTTTGAATTTAATCTTAGCTAATGCGATGTACTTTCGCTGGCTTTGAGTGGCATGTTTCCTCTTGAACAGTTCCACGCCAACTGACGAATCGATTTTATTTTTTCCGCTCCGAATTCCATGAAACCTAACGCCTAATTGTTCACCAGGGCAATGAACCAAGTTTGTGTTCGAATTCGACCATATTCACTCTCGCCTTATTTAAAAAAAATGCGTATTCGATATTTTTCAATAAATCGTAGCACGAGAAAACGGCTCATCTAATCAATGTGATGCCTGAGACAAAGTTATAGGAAACTGGATTGTCTTTTCAGAAAAAAAAATACAGTCACCCCAGTATTATGGGCCACCCACAATTATGGGCCACTTCCATTTAATTAACAGGCAGAACTGACTGTGACTGGTTGACTAGCTGGCCCCAAATCCCAAATTTTCTTCAAACATCATTCATTTTTAAAGCGGTGTCGACCTTATCAATATGGTCACTTTGAGGAGTAAAGCCCTATAATGGGTCACACACACACATCCTCCATGTTAGCAAAAACAACTACTGTTCTCGCTTCTTCTTCTTCTTCGCATTTCAAGCTTATTGCATTTCGCATATTAGCTTATTGCTTGCTCTCAACTTAGTGTTCTAGATGCACTTCCACAGTTATTAATTGAGAGCTTTCGAAGCCTGGTACCATTTCTGCATTAGTATAATTGTGTGGCAAGAACAATCATACTCTATATGCCCAGGGAAGTCGAGAAATTTTCCAACCCGAAAAATTCCTAGACCGGACCGGGAATCGAACCTACCCACCTCCAGCATGGTCTTGCTTTGTAGCTGTGCCTTTACCGGCTGAGCTAAGGGAGGCTCCTTCTACTCTTCTCGCGCTTGGTTTTAAAACTTGTGGATTCAAGATGGTGAATAAAAATGGTGGGTCTTTTATAAAATGGTCGATTTCCAGGATGGCAGACTATTTTCCAAATTAATGATTCAAGATGGTAATTCGTTGATAAAGTGTTCGATCTTTTTGAAAGAAATGGTATTGCAATCGCAATCAAACATTCAATTCCAAGAGGGTGGCTGATCTTCTGAATAATTAATTCAAGATGGTGGATGATTTTCAAAATGGAGGATTCAAGATGATGGATCTTTGATAAAATGGTCAATGCAATGTTATACCACAAACGAAGTGACAGACGACTAACTGACGAAGAAATCCATTTAAATAATGTGGTTCACTGTAATAGAATTTTCTTGGAAGCTTGTGCCATCATCCACCAGATGGGTTAGTTTTTTTTGTTTTGATTTGAACAAAGTTGATTTTGTGTACAATGATTCTTTGACAGTGTGCAAAGAGTGCATATCATTTTGTCATTTTTTTTATGCTTTTCAGTTTTGAGTAGAGTGAAAGAGATAGAACCAACAATCAATACGAAACTAACGATTTTAAATTGGCTCACCACTTTAGTAGCCTATTGGTCCCAAGCAAACGATTAACGTACCCTATTCTAGTTGAAATTCTATTACTACACTATGTTTGTTTTGATTCGCTATGAAAGTTTGACAGATAAAATGAGGGGTTCGTGGATTTTCCTATGTTTCGAGGGGTGCATAGATTAGCTTGGGACCGAAGATAATACCAGAGCTGAGCCAAAAAGTTGAGCTCTGGTGTTAGAGTTACCTCTATGGTAATACCATAGAGGCAACTTCAAGACTAGAAGGTCCCGAAGAAACGTGCTCAACTTTTTGGCTCAGCTCTGGTACTCTCTTCGGTCCCAAGCTAATCGATTCACCCCTCGAAACATAGGAAAATCCACGAACCCCTCATTTCATCTGTCAAAATTTCATAGCGAATCAAAACAAATATAGTGTACTACTAGAATTTAGACTAGAATGGGGTACGCCATAGAAGTACTTGGGGCCAATAGGCTGCTCAAGAAGTGAGCCAATTTCAAATCGATAGTTTCGTATTGATTGTTGGTACCAGAGCTGAGTCAAAAACTTGAGCACGTTTCTTCGGAAACTTCTGGTCTTAGAGTTACCTCTATGGTAATATCGTGCCTTTGCTTGTCCGACGCTGCTTCAATCAATGCAAATTCAAAACACATTCAAGCCGAACTCCAGCCAAATTCAAGCCAAATTCAATCAAATTTCAATCCAGATTTATGCCAAATTCTAGGCATTAAATCAACATTCAAGCTAAACGCAAGCCTAATTCATGCCAAATTCAAGCTAAATGATAGCAAAATAAAGATATACTAAGCCCTTAGGGGCTGTTCATAAACCACGTAGACTTAAGGGGGGAAGGATGGGGGGGGGTTTACGTGTGTCTACGGTCGATACAAATTAAAAAAAAAATATGACTATTGTCGACGTGGTCTAAAACCTCTAAAAAACGGTCTTCGTAGTTTATGTATAGCCTATTAAGACAAAATTATGTCATAAGGATTATTAATTGATTTTGATTGGATTTGGATTGAACTCGGTTGTGATTTTCAATTAGGAATCAAATGTAAGTTCAAGTTAAAGCCAATTTTAATTAAAGTTAACTCAAATTCAAATTCAATGCACATTCTTGCAGAGTTCCAGTTCTATTACAAATATATTCCAGTTAATTTAAAGCTAAATTACATTCAGACTCAAGGCAAATTCAAGCCAAATTAAATGCACATTCAAGCCTAATTTAATCCAATTTCATTCAAATTCAAGCCAACACCGTATGAAAAATTCAAGTAAATTTCTGTTGTACATAGTGCACACGTTATCAACGTTGGATTTGGTGTTAATCTAAACGATATTTCATGTAATTTTTAGCGAAATATCACAGCAATGTTGTATGCAAGCATGAAAATAATTTCGTTGTTTCTGCGAAGTTCAGCTCAAAATAAAACGAGAGGAGATTTTAAGCAATAGTAAAAATTCAGAATGGTTTTGTGTGTAACGCGAGTTCAGTTCTAATTAAATTCAAGCCAAATTCATGTCAAATTGATAAACAATTCAAACAAAATTCAACACCAATTAAAGCCTCGTGACAAATTCATGCAATGGACAAGCAAAATGCATACCAAGTTCAAATGATATTCATGCCAAACTTCAGACAGATTCATGCCAAATTCACGAAAATATTCAAGTCATGTTCATGCCATATTTAAGCCAAATAGATTTTTAACGAGTTGGATATGGATTGGATTCAGAGTGGATTCAGATTGGATTTGCATTGGATATGAATTGGCCTTGGATTGTATTTGGATTGAATTTGTTTTGGATTTGGATTGGATTCGCATTTAATCAGAAAAATGTTTCTTTAAATTACATAATCTTCAATTTGGTATAATCAGAAATGAAAAAGTTATATTTGTCTTAATTTGTAGCACCACCCTATTTGCAACTTGGACCACTGGCATAAAGTAGCACCTTATTTCACTTTAGAACAGTGGTGCTCATCCTCTTTTTTTCAATGGCTGTATCTTTGTTCGAAAGTCATATTTTAAGCAGAATTTTGTGTGTGTTTCCAATCATTTCCGTCATACATTCGTAATGCGAAAAAAAAATTCACTCTAAGGTTGTTGCATGATATCCAATCACAATCACAGATTTAGAACTGTTAGTGCAGTAAAAGCAACCGAAGCTTTAAATCTTCTCGGCTGTGTG